CCACATTACTTAAAACATCCCATCAACGTCGATTTCCGCATCTGTTTTCATGACCTCGTTTCATTCATAAAATAACAACAACCTTATTTGGCAAGATAAGTTAGAAATTACCACCCACTTATATAACTTTATTTCCTCTATCATAGAGATTTGTTGTACATGAACAATATTCCTGCGCATTTTGCCATTTGGGAAATATAAACGACTTGTAATTACCGATTTTCGGCGATGAAATATTTCATACAATTGTTCTTTGACATCGTAGCCAAAAGCACAGGGGATAATAAACTACGTACGGATTTCTATTGAGCACTACTTCTTATGTGCAACTTCAAAAGTTTTGGGTAGTTCGACGATCATTTAAGGTTTTTCTGGTCATATTTTTTGTATTCCAGAAATAAAAGTATTAAAAAAATGTCCAATTAGTTATAAATAACATAATAGCCAGCTAGATAATAACAATGGCACGTATTTCAGCATTTATTGGGTAGAACACAAATCTAGGGTGCTCGCATAAGGCAGCTTAACTGCCTAAAAACATAAAGGGGTATGTGAGGATTAAATACACTGTATCTCTTTCTTTCTATAACATATTAAAAGGGAAAAATGCGCTCCACCTGGAGCAGCTGGATACAACCACAGAGGTCGAACTCTGAACAGTTGGGTCAAGTATGGACACAATATTCAAGCTTGATACAGGTCTGAATTTGGATTGTAATTAAATATTTGACACATTATAGGTTTCTGACACAGAATTAATGTAGTCAAAGAACTTGAAATTGGTAGTATGATTTGAATTTATATTCAATTGAAGATTTCTTGCTGTTGTGCAATACACTGTGCTGTTGTGCAATACTTAGTAAATCTGTTTTCAGACTATATACAAACGAATTGGCAAAATAAATTGTGACCCCCAATTTTTTTCTTTGGAAAATTGACAATTTCTTCAATCTTGTGGAGAAAAAAAATCGCCCCCCCCCCCCCAAAAAAAAAATTTTTTTTTTACCCCCCCTACATAAAAAATATTTTAAGAGAATTTTCTTTTGAGGAAAAAAAAATTGCCTGCCCCCTTCCAAAAAAAATGATTTTGAAGGAATTTACTTTTTGTAAAATGTGGTACAAATTAGTTATTGTCTGAAAACTAGAACAAGAGTGCACACGCTGAAATGTCTCGCCTTCTTTACTAATCATTGATATTATGTTGATAGTCCTAAATATAAAGCTTTACTACAACTATCACATACACTTAACATGATCCAAGAAAATGAGGTCAAGGTCATATAAACCAAACAAGAAATACATGTACACCTTACAATCATTCAATACACTAAATATAGTTGACCTATTGTTTATAGTTTCTAAGATACAGACTTAACCAAGAAAACTAAACATTGACCAATGAACCAAGAAAATGAGGTCAAGGTCAGATGAACCATGCCAGGCAGACATGTACTACAGCTTGCAATCCTTCCATACAACAAATATAGTTGACCTATTGCTTATAGTATTAGAAAAACAGACCAAAACACAAAAACTTAACACTGAGCAATGAACCGTGAAAATGAGGTCAAGGTCAAATAAAACCTGCAAGACTGACAGGTACATCATAAAATATTTCCATACACCAAATATAGATGACCTATTGCATATAGTATTAGAAAAAAAGACCAAAACTCAAAAACTTAACTTTGACCACTGAACCATGAAAATGAGGTCAAGGTCAGAAGACACCTACCAGCTAGACATGTACACCTTACAATCATTCCATACACCAAATATAGTAGACCTATGGCATACAGTATAAGATAAACAGACCAAAACACAAAAACTTGACTATAACCACTGAACCATGAAAATGAGGTCAAGGTCAGATGACACCTGCCAGTTGGACATGTACACCTTACAGTCCTTCCATACACCGAATATACTAGACCTATTGCTTAAAGTATCTGAGATATGGACTTGACCACCAAAACTTAACCTTGTTCATTGATCCATGAAATGAGGTCGAGGTCAAGTGAAAACTGTGTGACGGGCATGAGGACCTTGCAAGGTACGCACATACCAAATATAGTTGAACTATTGCATATAGTATTAGAAAAAAAGACCAAAACTCAAAAACTTAACTTTGACCACTGAACCATGAAAATGAGGTCAAGGTCAGATGACACCTGCCCGCTAGACATGTACACCTTACAATCATTCCATACACCAAATATAGTAGACCTATGGCATACTGTATAAGAAAAACAGACTAAAACACAAAAACTTAACTATAACCACTGAACCATGAAAATGAGGTCAAGGTCAGATGACACCTGCCAGTTGGACATGTACACCTTACAGTCCTTCCATACACCGAATATACTAGACCTATTGCTTATAGTATCTGAGATATGGACTTGACCACCAAAACTTAACCTTGTTCATTGATCCATGAAATGAGGTCGAGGTCAAGTGAAAACTGTGTGACGGGCATGAGGACCTTGCAAGGTACGCACATACCAAATATAGTTGAACTATTGCATATAGTATTAGAAAAAAAGACCAAAACTCAAAAACTTAACTTTGACCACTGAACCATGAAAATGAGGTCAAGGTCAGATGACACCTGCCCGCTAGACATGTACACCTTACAATCATTCCATACACCAAATATAGTAGACCTATGGCATACTGTATAAGAAAAACAGACTAAAACACAAAAACTTAACTATAACCACTGAACCATGAAAATGAGGTCAAGGTCAGATGACACCTGCCAGTTGGACATGTACACCTTACAGTCCTTCCATACACCGAATATACTAGACCTATTGCTTATAGTATCTGAGATATGGACTTGACCACCAAAACTTAACCTTGTTCATTGATCCATGAAATGAGGTCGAGGTCAAGTGAAAACTGTGTGACGGGCATGAGGACCTTGCAAGGTACGCACATACCAAATATAGTTGAACTATTGCATATAGTATTAGAAAAAAAGACCAAAACTCAAAAACTTAACTTTGACCACTGAACCATGAAAATGAGGTCAAGGTCAGATGACACCTGCCCGCTAGACATGTACACCTTACAATCATTCCGTACACCAAATATAGTAGACCTATGGCATACAGAATAAGAAAAACAGACTAAAACACAAAAACTTAACTATAACCACTGAACCATGAAAATGAGGTCAAGGTCAGATGACACCTGCCAGTTGGACATGTACACCTTACAGTCCTTCCATACACCGAATATACTAGACCTATTGCTTATAGTATCTGATATATGGACTTGACCACCAAAACTTAACCTTGTTCACTGATCCATGAAATGAGGTCGAGGTCAAGTGAAAACTGTCTGACAGGCATGAGGACCTTGCAAGGTACGCACATACCAAATATAGTTATCCTATTACTTATAATAAGAGAGAATCTAACATTACAAAAAATCTTAACTTTTTTTTCAAGTAGTCACTGAACCATGAAAATGAGGTCAAGGACATTGGACATGTGACTGACGGAAACTTCGTAACATGAGGCATCCATATACAAAGTATGAAGCATCCAGACCTTCCACCTTCTAAAATATAAAGCTTTTAAGAAGTTAGCTAACGCCGCCGCCGCCGCCGCCGCCGGATCACTATCCCTATGTCGAGCTTTCTGCGACAAAAGTCGCAGGCTCGACAAAAATGCTTGTTTTAGACCCTTTTTGGCCCCTAATTCCTGAACAGTTTGGGCAACTACCCCCAAAATGAATCCCAACCTTCTACTTGTGGTATTGAACCTTGTGGTACAATTTCAGAGCAATCAAAATACTTATACACAAGTTATTGTCCTGAAAATAGAAAAATGCTTGTTTTGGCCCCCAATTCCTAAACAGTCGGGACCATCACCCCCAAAAACAATCCCTACCTTCCTATTGTGGTATTGAACCTTTTGGTTGAATTTCATAGAGATCCATACACTTAAACTAAAGTTATTGTCCGGAAACAGACGACGCCGACTACGATGACAACGTGATAACAAAAATGCTCGTTTTTGGCCTCTCATTCCTAAACTGTTGGTACCATAACCCCCAAAATCAATCCCAACCTTCCTTTTGTGGTATTGAACCTTCTGGTACAATTTCATAGAGATCCATTCACTTAAACTAAAGTTATTGTCCGGAAACCAAATGTGTCTTTTTGGACGACGCCGACATGATAGCATTATACGAAGGCAAATTTTCTGCGGTCGTATAAAAACCTCAAACAATTCAAGACTTTAAACTAATCCTCATTAAAAGATTTGTATTTATTTTCAATTGAAGATTTTTTGCTGTTACACAATACTTAGTAATTACAAACTAAATATAATAATTTACACACCCTGTTTGGTGTGTATCTCCTGCCATATCAGTATTTGTTGTTTCTTTATATAGATCAGAAATAATTTGTTAGAACCAACTTAGCCAGTATTAGAAAAGTCTTGGTTTTTGGCCTCTAGTTTCTTAACGATTAAAGCCACAACCCACAAAATCAACCCCAACTTTCTGTGTGTGGTATGGAACCTTGTGGTACAATTTCATAGAGATCCATAGACTTATACTTTAGTAATTGTCCATTAACCAGAAAAACCTTGTTTCTCCCCCCCCCCCCCATTTTGCCCCCTAATTCCTGAACGGTTTGGGCCATAACCCCCCGAAGTCAATCCCAACCTTCCCTTCGTGGTATGGAATCTTGTGGTACAATTTTATAGAGATCCATAGACTAATACTTAAGTAATTGTCCATTAACCAGAAAAACCTTGTTTCCCCCCCTTTTTTTGCCCCTAATTCCTGAACGGTTTGGGCCATAACCCCCAAAGTCAATCCCAATCTTCCCTTTGTGCTATAGAACCTTGTGGTTAAATTTCATAGAGATCCATTGACTTATACAAAAGTTATTGTCCGAAAACCAAATGTCTTCAGACGACGACGATGACATGATAGCAATATACGAACGCGGTCGTATAAAAAGAACAACGAACTGGTAAGAAAAAGTTTTTTTAATGACTTGGTTTAAAATTCAAATATCACAATTAAGAAAATAAATGTATTTGACTTTGGATTGAACATTATAATAGTGCATATTAAAGATATAAATAATGAAAATAGTACAAACAACAAAGACATCTTATGACATGATAAATAAATAGCATTAAATCTGCTTATTGTTTTACTAAAAATGCCACGAACAGGAACTTAAATACATATATGAACCATTCAACAATAAAAGAACATTTTCTTTTATCTACTTTATAAGAATGTGTACAAATATTTGTCTAAAGAAAATAGCTTGTACTCAAACCAAAATGCAAAAATATTACTCAAGTTACATATAGATCATGAGGATTAATATGTTCTCGAACTCTGGGCCTAATATCGTTGCATTAATAAAATATCTGACAGACAATATATGCAAGTGATTGTAACCAAAGAGTAACACAAGTTTTCTTTAATGTATTCTTTATATGTATCATCATATTTCTTAAGAAAGAAACCTATTTTTGTATATCAAAATCAACCAATCATATAATGTAGCTCAAATTTACTGAAATGAAGTTAAAGTCTTGACAAATAATAATATGTTTGACCATTTTTGATGAAGACAAAACAAAATCTTGTCACAAAACTGTTCTTGTCCACTCCATTTCCATAATATCCTATGCCATCAAGGCCATGTACTTTTAAAAGCAAAATTATCAAGAAATAACATATTTTTCTTCTCTTATCCTTAACAAAATTTAAGTTATATTTTATGTACAAATATTAAATACTGTTTGTGTTTAATACTGTGAAACTGGAAAATGTTTCCCCTTAAGTGATGTAATTATTTGCTCTTTTATATGCTTGTTAACCAGATATACATTTCTAAAGAACATTTACTGTCAATGTTAGCATGCTAAAAGCAAATATAAAGTTTCATGGTGAATAAGACATGTTAAGTAAAAGTGTATGTCAATGATTCAATGTAAAGAGAGAGAATAATGCCCCTTAATGCATACATGCAATTATAGACTTTCAATAGATTTCTCAATTGACACCAATTTACTGTAGCTAAATAGATAAATAATTGTAAACAACAAAAGATAACATCAAGTGTTTATTCTGTATGGATTCTGGTTATTTAGGATAGGCTTGTTTTTGCTCATTTGTTGAAGGTCGTTTGGTGACCTCTAGTTGTTTACATGCACGTCTTATAGACTCTGGTGTATAGTTGTCTCATCAGCAATCATACCACATCTCTTTCTTTTCATACTGTCATTTTCACAACAAAAAATAAATTTGGTGCATGCTGATACTTTTCAACATTAAAGGGCTATGAAAATATGACACGACCAAAAAACACAGACAGAATCAGCTGAATATCTATATTGTACTGTTAATATTCACTACCAGGACAAAGAAAGTGTTAGTTTTCAGTTCAGTTGTAGAACATTATCATTTAGACAGCTACCATTAGACAGGAAATTGAATTCCAGTTTGAAAATTGAGAAATCAAAACACCACAATGGAACTACAAATGATTTGAATTCACCGTCTGCCAAAACATAATTAAAACTAGGACAGATTAAATTAGCATGAAGTAATCTAATAAAAATCACATTAATTCTTGTTGTAAATAGAGAACAGCTTTTGTTTTACGTCACTACTGAATTAATTCTAAAAGCAAAAATACTATTTTCAGTACATATGAATCTTGAAAACAGCAATAACTCCATAAGTAGTAAGTAACATTTCCAAACATACTTATAGTGCTATCTTTAAAAAAAATCATTTAAGACATGTTTTAGGTGCATATTATAATAATAATCATATTATAGATGCATACATCTTACAAAAATACAATTTTATTTTAATAGAGAGAGACTGTATCAAAATAGGTTAAATAATAACACTGAATCAACTATAAACACAAAAAGCTGACAAATGAATATAATTAATAAGATATGTGGGATATATGTCGATGCAGCAGCAACTCAACAATACAGTAACAACAAAGACATCTAGAGGTCAACATACAGTCCTCCATAATAAATAAATGAATAAGTTTTTTAAAGAAATATCTAATCATTTGAACAAATTGCTGGTATAGTTGTAAAGGATAATGGAATATTTGATAAAATATATTTTTTTATAAAAAAAAAAACATAGCTTAAATGTACCCAATCAATAAAGATCATTTGGATGTTTTTTTTTTTTATAAGACTGGAGGAAATTTAAAGTTAACAATATTGGTGAGTTAATATTGTGAAAGTCACCTGATGTTTCCCTGAAAGCAATTGAAAAAAAAATATACACGATTTTGTGGCACAATTCAATTTGCTGAAATTATGAAAAGGCAATTAAAAACTACAACATATATGTCTAATACTTTGAAATACTTTGGCAAAAAATCTTTTGTTAAAATGACCACTGAAATACAGTTTTTAAAGTATAAGAGTTTTAAAGCATATACATCGACATACAGTCTTGGACAAAAAAAAAAAGAATAAGTATTTAAGAAATATCTTATTATTTTGGCAACTTGCTGTTTAAGTTGAAAGGGATTATGGAGCCTACTACATAAAATATCATACACTAGTAATCATACGACATCTCCTTGATTTTATAGTTATGGAACGTCATTAAACAATAAAAACTGCAATTCCATTTATAACAGTCTGTAACCAATGATGTACGGATCTGCTAGTTCCAGCAGAAAGGATTTATTTTAGTTTCCTTGCAGTTGGGATAGATGGATTCTAAGGCTTTATTGACCAGGTGACTAAAAAAATCAGTATGAAAAAGACTTGCATTTTTAAAAAAATTTGATGATTATTCATAAAACACATTCATAAACCATACATTTTGGCAGTTGTCAAAGTTGAGCAAAAAAATATAAATGTGCTCATTTAAAATTTATATATTTGGCATGCAATGAGGTTTTTTTGAAAGAACTGTCAACTAATGTACTTTCCATTGTATTGTAATTACACCAGCAAAAAGTGTGGTACAATGAAAAGCAACCAGGATACTTACACAAATAAGTTTAAACATTCAGACAATCACAAAAAGGCTTGATTGTCAATGTTCTAGTTAAAATATTGGGAAGAGAAAACATGAATGGTTTTCAGAATGTACTGACTTATTGCAGTAATGCCAGTATTGGTTTTCCTTGAAATACTTTTTTACCCTTCACATCAAACATTCTAACAACAAAATATCATTGAAAATATCAACAAGTACTATAATGTACAATTAATCATGCTGATGGTCAAACAAATTGCCAATCAAGTCAACAAGTGATACAGTGGTTAAGGACAGCATAAACATTGATTTTCAACAGGAAAACTTGAGTGTACATGGCTACACAGAAACTGAAGATTTACTGAAAGTTTCAAGATAATCCTGTTAGTGGTTCTAGGAAATACTGGTACAAAATGCAGACGGATGAACAAAAGTACTTAAAAGGGCTACATCAATTGATGATCTTTAATCTTTACTTTTGTGTACAAAAACTTAGTTTACGAAATCAGATATAATTTGTCAATTTCCAAACGGTAAATGATTATACTATTTAAAGTGTAGGAGAGTTTTTTCAATTAGAGAAACCACATAAGAAAACTTGTTGAGTATCTTGGAAGACTCTTTACTATACATGTTATTTTAAATGATATGGAAAATAGTCGACAATGGAGGTACTTCTAATTATACTTAAAGAATTCCTCCTAAGAGAGAAAATTACCTCAGAAAAACCCTTATCCACGATCATCTATTAAGGTAATCTATTAAATCATATATATGACTAATGTGGGTATATCGTCTGATCATTTACAATTAATAAAATCATTCTAAACTCATATCAGATTCATTATTGCACAAATCTTCTAAATCTTTCACTCTATATTGATCAACAAATCAACTGATTCTGGCAGGCGTAAATGTAGTCAATGATTGAGACTTTACAAATCTAATCATGAAAGGAAGGTGACCATTCCATCTAAATTGAACCTCTCTGATGTCTGATCACATTTAGATAGGATTTAATTAATATAATCTATATATCATAATTCATCATGGACTTCATATCTGACTACAGAACTCGCAAGATCTTTTTCAATTATTATATTATTTTTAGTTTCAAATACATTTTTTAATTTGTCTTTATCTAAGATCTTTTGAGAGCTTTTAAGAAATTTTAACAAAATAAAAGCATTTCTATACTGCTTGTCAATTTTCTTTAGTCTTTTACTTAACACTTTGACACCTGATTTAAATCTAACTGAAGTCTGTCTGGTTTTATACTGAAGTTTAAGTTTTTCTATATGGTTTTCTAACAGTTGTCTCCTCTTTATGTTAAAGATGATAGCCTCTGATACTTTGTGTAGATTTTTCTCAATACATGACTTAGTGCAGACATCGACTGCCGTGTCCATCCTCAAGTCGTGCGTTGTATGATGTAAAACAAACTTGATCAGGTTTGGTAAAGTCAGTGGTAATGTCTCTGGATACTTTACACTCTCTGATTTCCTGAAATTACAAATTAATCCAATAAATAAGTAATGATATATTAATTTGTTCTAATTTTTCTACAGTTGACACTTTGTTCTTTAGAGAGTCGTTAATAAAAGTTCATTGTTTTGTGTAATTTCAATATCAGGAATCCTAAAAATAGTCGATAAATGTTAAAAATCTATTAACTTAAGATAATCATAATCTTCAAATTTATCTGTAAAGCAAATGAAACAAACCATCACGTTTGAATTTAGCATAAACATGAAAGTCAAGTGAACTTTACAATCATAAAACATTTTTTTAATACTATAATTTGAATTTTAAATAAAAGAATAGGAAATTTTGAACTTTCATTGGTAGTAGTTAGAAGAACATATTAACTGATGAAATAGATGGATGATGGACTGGCAGAAAGTCAAACTTTTATAAGCAGCTCCAGTGGTAATTGGTGCGTTAGATCTGGTTATTTAAACCTCAATGTTTCATGGCACTGTCTAAAAATTCTATAAATTTTGATCAGCAACAACAGAATTTCAAATGAATAATCATTCAATCACATTATCATCCTCACAATGAATATTCTATTATTTTTTTCACATTTTTTTCATAAGCAAAAAAAAATCAATTTTTAATAAGAAAAAAATATCTACTAATTCAACATTTGTAAGATTTGAAATGACTTCATGTACAAAATACATAACATTTTACATTTGCTACTTTCATTTTATATCATGCGGTATAAAAATTTTACTGAACAAGACAACTTAGAAAAAAAGTTGACTTCTGCATTACAAATGTATCTCAACCCATAATCAAATAATTGTACAAGAGGAACTTTAATCCATCTTCAAACAAATATATATCTATGTATAATTTGACAATCGTTGGTGACAAACGGATGATTGAATCTCCAATCAGAACACATGTAATTAGCCAATAAAACCTAGTCAAGCAAATAACTGTTTTAGGTGACTGTTCATTTCCGATATTCCAGCAGTTAAGATTATGTTGTCGTAAGTCACAATGTATTGATCTGAATAATTTTCCTCTTTAACTACTGTATTAACAATAAATCTACTCTAAAATCACCCATCCAAGTATAAGAAAACTGATGATCACTATCTTTTGCATATGATCATTTCAGTTCATGGGAAGAAATTTCAATTCTCTTCAACTCTAGTAGCTAGTATTACTCTGGGGGAATGATGTCATTCAGATTGAAATAAATAAGATAATTAGTTAAAAAGTCTTTCTCTTAATTCTTAGTTGATTTATGCTTTTCCCAAAGTCTTGATTATCTTTTAGAATCAATGCTTGATTCATTTTGTTGTAAGCTTTTAATTGGACAAAATTCAGTTGTAACATCAAATGTTCTTGCCTTATGATTTCACAATTGTGATTCCACATAGTTATACCACTGAACTCAGAGAAAGTACAATAAACCACATAACTCACAGAATGTACAATAAAACCACTGAACTCACAGAATGTACAATAAAACCACTGAACTCACAGAATGTACACTAAAACCACTGAACTCACAGAATGTACAATAAAACCACTGAACTCACAGAATGTACAATAAAACCACTGAACTCACAGAATGTACACTAAACCACTGAACTCACAGAATGTACAATAAACCACATAACTCACAGAATGTACAATAAAACCACTGAACTCACAGAATGTACAATCGTTGACAATCTTTGTTGTAAATCGGCAACAAAGTAGCAACACTTCATCAGCACCGCATAAGAAACATTTATGCCATGTTTGGTTTAATTCCATTCAGTGGTTCTCTAAAAGAAGACATTCATATGTATTGTCCATTGGGTCCTATGTTAAACAAAGTCCCCCGCTGGCAGCCATCTCGGATGATGGATCGGCTTCAAAGTAACAACACTTAGTCAGAACCTCAAAGCAACATTCATACCATGTTTGGTTTCAATCCATTAAGCAGTTTTCTAGAAGAAGACATTTGTATATATTTCCCATAGGGTCCTTTGTTAAACTAAGTCCCCTGTTGGCAGCCATCTTGGTTGATAGATTTGCTACAAAGTAATAACACTTGGTCAGCACCTCATAAGGAACATTCATGCCATGTTTAGTTTCATTCCATTCAGAGGTTCTCTAAAAGAAGACATTTGTATGCATTGTCCATAGGGTCCTATGTTAAAAGAAGTCCCCCGCTGGCTGCCATCTTGGATGATGGATCGGCTTCAAAGTAACAACACTTGGTCAGCACCTCATAAGGAACATTCATGCCATGTTTGGTTTCATTCCATTCAGTGGTTCTCTAAAAGAAGACATTTGTATGTATTGTCCATAGGGTCCTATGTTAAACGAAGTCCCCTGCTGGCGGCCATCTTGGATGATGGATCGGCTTCAAAGTAACAACACTTGGTCAGCACCTCATAAGGAACATTCATGTCATGTTTGGTTTCATTCCATTCAGTGGTTCTCTAAAAGAAGACATTTGTATGTATTGTCCATAGGGTCCTATGTTTAACGAAGTCCCCTGCTGGCAGCCATCTTGGATGATGGATCGGCTTCAAAGTAACAACACTTGGTCAGCACTTCATAAGGAACATTCATGTCATGTTTAGTTTATTCAATTCAGTGTTTCTCTAAAAGAAGGCATTTGTATGTATTGTCCATAGGGTCCTATGTTTAACGAAGTCCCCTGCTGGCAGCCATCTTGGATGATGAATCGGCTTCAAAGTAACAACACTTGGTCAGCACTTCATAAGGAACATTCATGTCATGTTTAGTTTATTCAATTCAGTGTTTCTCTAAAAGAAGACATTTGTATGTATTGTCCATAGGGTCCTATGTTAAACGAAGTCCCCTGCTGGCGGCCATCTTGGATGATGGATCGGTTACAAAATGTACAATAAAAACACTGAACTCATAGAAAGTACAATAAAACCACTGAGTTCAGAATGTACAATAAAACCTTAAAAACTTAACTTTAACCACTGAACCATGAAAATGAGGTCAAGGTCAGATGACACATGCCAGTTGGACTTGTACACCTTACAATCATTCCATACTCCAAATACAGTAGACCTTTTGTTTATAGTATCTGAGATATGGAATTGACCACGAAAAACTTAACCTTGTTCACTGATCCATGAAATGAGGTCTAGGTCAGATGAAAACTGTCTGACAGGCACAAGGACCTTGCAAGGTATGCACATACTAAATATAGGTATCCTATTACTCATAATGAGAGAAATTAACATTACAAAAAACCTTAACTTTTTTTTCAAGTAGTCACTGAACCATGAAAATGAGGTCAAGGACAATGGACATATGACAGATGGAAACTTCATAACATAAGGCATCTATATACAAAGAATGAAGCATCCAGGTCTTCCACCTTCTGAAATATAAAGCTTTTAAATAGTTAGTTAACACTGTTGCCACCGGATCACTATCCCTATGTCAAGCTTTCTGCAACAGAAGTTGCAGGCTCGACAATAAAACCACTGAACTCACAAATAGTACAATAAAACCACTGAACTCACAAATAGTACAATAAAACCACTGAACTCACAGAATGTACAATAAAACCACTAACCTAACAGAAAGTACAATGAAACTAAAACGCTCAATTTTAATCACAAGATTTGTTGTGTTCGAGCTTTGAAAAAGGAGTTTATCATATAATTTGTAACTGAGTTCCATAATGAAAGTCTCATTTGCATTCTAGTCACACTGTCTTACAAACAGTTACATGTATATCTTAACTTTAATAAAACTCTTATGCTACCTCTTTTGAACTTTGCGTACTGGATTCTGTGTACTCTACAAACTGATACGCTATTTCAACTGAACACTAAACTAGAGCAACAGATAGAATATGGCTATTTGAATTTCTAGTATATGTTGAAATTGTTTACAATTGTCTGTATAAAAGATCTTAAAACTCCTATGAACTTGTCAAGTTGTGTTCAAAATAAATTTTGATGTTAGACCTCCAAAGCTAGACATGTCATTTAAGGCTTATTCGTGTGTACAACATAAATTACTGCTATTTTGTTTTTGGTAATTACTTTTATGTTTGACTAGACAAACCATTTTAAGCTCATTCCTCTGACCTTTTTGTCCTATAATATTGCTTAGATTCGTACCTTATATGTAGTGCCAAGGATTATGGTAGGATATAAATATAGTACTGACTTAAAGTGGTTTTCGCAACAAGAAAATATAATATTGTCTTTATTACAAATTCTGTGACAGATTATCAATACTTCCATCAGAAGGAAAGGATATATTTCACATAAGACAATCTATTCTCAAACCTCCAGTAACATGCCAAGTAAACACACATTAACGTTATCTATCTTCATCATATATTTGTTTTCTCCTTCGAGATTCTTATAGGTTAATGAAATTCTTATTTGTCTATAATGTTTATGGGAAAGTTAGGTATTTATGAATTAATATCGACAAAAAACTTTTTACCTCAAACCAAACACCAATTCTCACGAGATGCACTAAGTCTATCATATCACTTTTTGCCGTGATATAAACAGGTTTTGCCATCATATAGCATGACTGCATTAAGCATCCAGGGAAAATCCATTAAAGACACTCATAAAGCATCATTTCAATCACATGAAAATTGAAAAGTTTTCAAGGAAACTAAAAGTCAGATTTTTTACAAGAACAAACAAGATGTAACTTCATCACAAGTCAAATTGACAGCTTTTTGTTTGCAAATTTAAAAATTAATTTCCTGTTCTTTGTCATTGTGTCATAATTTCTAGCGAATAGCATCATTTTCTATTGATTGTTCTGAATTTTATGTCATTTCAACAGCATATTAAAGATGAAAAAATAAATTAATAATATAGACAATTTGGTACTCAGTGTCCATGATATGTATGCAGAAATAAAACAATTGATCATTAAAACATTGCTTTTTACAGCAAAACTTTTAGTTTCGTTATTTGAAATAGTGGTGTATGAAAAACAAACAAGAATTCAAGACATTCTAAAGAAGA